AAAAAAAAAAAAAAAAGACTCGAGGGAGCACATTTGGCAGGACGGTATTGATTCTCCCCCCAAATGGAGAGGGGGATTAACTGTCTGCATGCTACAAAGTACAGAGTCACAGACCTCTTCAGCCCACGACTGGTAGGGCCGCCAGAGATGACCTCCTTACCACCACCCCCCTCCCCCCCCACCCCCCCCAGAGATCACCAAGATAACTATATGCGAAGCCTCTCAACAACCACTGGGAGGCATACCTTTCTCGGCCTTTTGGCTAAAAATAGATAAAGCGTAGTACCTGTTCTGATCCGTTTAAACTCTGATCCGTTTAAAATCTGATCCGTTTAAAATCTGATCCAATTAAGATGCTGAAGATGCTGAAGATGCTGAAGATGCTGAAGATGCTGAAGATGCTGAAACATCACTCAGAGAAAGTGGTACATCAAAAAAAAAAAAAAAAAAAAAAAAAAAAGGTGGTAGATCAAAAAAAACTTAGGAAAGAGCCCACGCCGAACCAACTGGCGTAGCTCAGTTGGTACGCCCTTAAAGGCTTGAACTGTTGAAATATACAGACCTGAGTTCGAGCTTCACTGGAAGCAGATGAGTAAAGTAAAATACGACAATGCTGAATTACCTAGGGCTGGTCAGTTCGATGACCATATCTCAAGGCCGACGCCCTTTTTTGTTAAAAAAAAAGAAAAAGAAAAGGAAGGAAAGAACCCGCCCCGCCGAACCCATCCCCATAGAACAAAAGCAAATAAACAACTTGAACTGAATCTTCAACTTGGCAAAAACATCAGCCAGGTCGTGATTACATTGTTTTTTTTTTGGTACCTTTTTCGTTTCTTTTCTTTTTCTCTTTCCTTTTTTTTTTGTGAGTGTGCCAAAAAACTTGGGTGATTAGTAGATTACGTTTTCGTTTCAACTATTGGTACCGCACTCGGACAACGCACTGGATGATCCTATACAGAGCACAGGTTGTGGCCTATCGTACCTGATGAACTTGAGGAGGGTGATTGAGCCCAGGTTTGGATGGTGATTTAATCCCCTTTGGAGGAGGTTAGGGTCCAGATGCGTGGGGTCATGCTTCCTATGGGGGGCACTGGGTCTTCTAGTTGTTGGTGCTCCCGGGCTTGCTTAAGATGTCTCTCCTGCTTTCAAACCCTTTTTCCTCCCCTTTTTTTGCAGTTTCTGTCACTTTCTGATCAACTAATTGTGACAAATTGCTTGCCGGTGATGAGCAACCCCATTGTCGGCCCCCCCAGTCGTCTGAGAATAGATGGGGGCATTGTGTGTGTGTTTGTGTGTGTGTGTGTGTGTGTGTGTGTGTGTGTGTGTGTGTGTGTGTGTGTGTGTGTGTGTGTGTGTGTG